TTCTGAAAAACATGAGCAGTACAGCTTCATTTTATACACCTCCATATTTCATAAAACATCCCTGGCCCCATAGGGTAGTTGACAGGTTCCAGATGGTGGATCCTTTGCCTTAAGGGCTAAAACAAACAGTTCCTTGTTTGAGGGGCCATGTTTAGGAGATTTATGTGTGAGCAGTTTCTGGGAAAAGAGATTCTGATGGTTTCACACACTCAACGAGGCCCCTTTAACTTCCCGTCCCATGGTGTGATGAGAGACAGATGTTTCAGTAGGAAATGGCATATGGGTGGTCTCAAATAAATGGACATCACAACTAAATAATATGCATAAGACTTGACTAAATTAACACAAAATACTTGAGTATATCTTTTCTTTCACAATTCCTCCCTTTTATTCCATAGACACTAACAGATAGATTACTAATGTTTTCTATCCTGATGCATGCTCAATAATCCAGGTAGAAAAATATAAAAAAGTTAAATCTGGTCCTCTGGACATTCAAAAAAACAAAACAAAGCAAAACAACAAAAAAATGTAGAAATAGGAGGCCATCTTTGTGAAAAGAAACCGTCTATCATTAAACAGGGGTGGAGCCTCCAGGTTCAACTGTCCCCCTCTTACAATGCTGTGATTGCTAGTATCACTCAGCCCTCTGTGAACAGTAAACAGCCATCAGGTGCTAATGATCCATTGTTAGGCTGATGGTCCTTCTTGAGCATGTGATCAGCTGGTTCTGGTTGTCAGCAGCAAACTGGTTGATCCACTCTGAGAAGGTGCTATTTAAGAGACTGAGCTGAATACAGCACCTCAGACTAAAGAAGTCTCTCGGATGAGAGACGAAACGTTTCTAGAATTTTTTGCTTTGTTTTGTTTTTATTTTTTTGAATGTCCAGAGGACCAGATTGAACTTTTTTGGAAAATCTCCAGGGGTTACGTTATGCAGCTGTTTTTGAGCTGGGCTGGGAAGCCCTCCTTGGACCTTAGACCTGAGGGATTTTAAATGGTTAGTCAATTCAATGCAGTAGGCAAGCATGTTATGATCACAGTGTTTCAGGTCATTAGTTGGATTTGTTGTTGGTCCTGTTCCCAGGTTTGGTGGTGCAGCGAACAAGATTTTAAAAGGACTAAGATTACACTTAGTTCTTTTACGTATGCGCATATACATCAACGCAAAGGGTAAGCATGTAACCCAGTTGAGTTTTGTCTCGTCACATACAGTATTTTTGTCAGTTTGTTTTTTAATGTCCCATTCTCTCTTTCAACTGCACCTCCACTCTGTGGGTGATACGTGCAGTGTTTGGTCAGATCAAAGTGAAGCATAGTGGACACTTCTTCAAGTATTTGATTGGTAAAGTGTGGGCTGTTGTCACTAGAAATTTTCTGTGGGATGCCCCATCTTGTCACTACTTCCTTTAGCAGGATTTTTGCCACTGTGCTTGCTGTTGCATTTTTTGTAGGAAAAGCTTCAATCTACTTAGAATACATGTCTATTATGACCAGGCAATATTTTTTGTTTTGAACTGGTGTTAGTTCAATAAAACCAATCATTATGTGTTGAAATGGTTCTGTAATAGTTTTGTGGGCTCCTGGAGCTGTTGTTTTTATTGTTTTTGAAACATTGTGAGTGGCACATACGAGGCAGGAATCACAATGTTGAGCTGCTGTTTTTGAAAAATTTACAGTAAACCAATCAGCATTAATCTGTCTTAGCATTCCTCCTTTTGATACATAATCTAAAGCATGTGTCAAAACAGCAAAGGAGGGAAAAATGTTTTGGTAAACATGGGTTACCATTTGGACCAGTCCAGATGTTTTCAGATAAAATGCAGCCGTGTCTTTTCCATTCTGCTTTTTCACTGGCATTAGCTAGTTTCTGCATGTCAGAAACAGAATGGTGAGTCAGGTTCTGTCTGTGTGTTTGTCAGAGTGTGAGTGTACACTGAAGTGGAACAGGCTGCATGCTTTGCAACTTTGTCAGCCAAATCGTTTCCTCTAGAGACAGAGTCAGTGTTAAACTTGTGTGCTGCACATTTAATGACTGCCACCTGAGATGGAAGGGTTATGGCACTTAACAAATCAGAAACAAGTTTATGGTTGAGTATGGGCTGTCTGTCAGAACGTAGGAAATGTCTGTGTTTCCACAGAGCTCCAAAGTCATGAAGAACACCAAAAGCGTTTTGGCTATCCGTGTAAATATTTACTTTCTTCCCTTCAGACAAAACACAAGCACGTGTGAGAGCAATCAGTTCACAGGCCTGTGCTGAACATGATGATAAGGGTTTTGCCTCAACTGTGTGTGTGTGTGTGTGTTACAACAGCATAACCACTTCTGATTTTGCCTGTTTCAGGGTCACGTGACGTAGAACCATCAACGAACAGTTCCCAGTCTGGACTGTCCAGTGGGTGTTGTTTCAAGTCGGATCTTGGTGTACACACAACTTCGAGCTCAGCGATACAATCATGAGGGGTTCCCTCGTCAGCTGTAAGTAGAAGTGTGGCTGGATTTAGAGCGTTACAACGATGTATTGTAATGTTTGGCATGTCCAGTAGGGTTGTGTGATATTTCAGCCAATGTGCTGTTGAGAGATGAGCAGTTTTTTGCTCATTTAAAATTTGTATGACAGCGTGGGGAACGAGAAGGGTCAGATCAGAATATCCCACAATGTCTCGACTTGCAAGGACTGCTTTCTCAGCCGCTGCCACAGCCCGCAGGCAGAATGGCAGGCCAGCAGCTACAGAGTCTAATTTGGATGAGAAATAGGCGTCCGGTTTCAGACTGTCACCGTGTTTTTGGAGCAACACAGAAGACATACAACCACACCTTTCATCCACAGCCTGGATAAAGGGGCATGTACAATCTGGAATTCCAAGTGTAGGTGTTTGTTGTAGCTGTTTTTTCAATTTTTCAAAAGCCTGCAGTGCTCCATCTCTCCATGTCACGTGTGAGCTCATTTGAAGGCCTTTTTCATGACAAATTGTACGCAGCGGAGACTCCATCTCGGCATAATTTGGAATAAAATGCCTACAATTATCACAAAGTCCTAGAAAGGACATTAGCTGTTTTTTAGTCGCAGGACGAGGCAGTTTCATTATGGCTTTAACACGTGAATCTGCAATCTCCCTACCCTCTGCTGAGATTCGATGACCCAGAAACGTAACAGTGGTCTGCACAAACTGCAGCTTAGACAAGGATGCTTTATGTCCCTGCTCAGCCAAATACTGAAACAAGCGGACAGTGTTATCCTTACAGGACTGTTCTGAAGGTGTGGCCAATAACAAATCATCCACATACTGTAATAATGCACAATCAGCAGGAAGTGTAAACCCAGCAAGGCTGTCATTCAATGCTTGATGAAAAATAGTAGGTGATTCACAATAGCCTTGACAGAGATGTGTGAACATATAAGATTTTCCCAAAAACTGAAATAAAAAACAAAATTGGCTATCTGGATGCATAGGGCCGCTGAAAAATGCATTTGCCAGATCTATTGTGGAGAAATGGGTGGAGCCTGATGGGATTTGTGACAAAATCACATAAGGGTTCGGGACAATGGGGGCACGAGCATGTACTACAGAGTTCACCATCCATCCATCCATCCATTTTCTTCCGCTTATCCAGGGTCGGGTCGCGGGGGTAGCAGCCTAAGTAGGGAGGCCCAGACTTCCCTCTCCCCAGCCACTTGGGCCAGCTCTTCCGAGGGAATCCCGAGGCGTTCCCAGGCCAGCCGAGAAACGTAGTCCCTCCAGTGTGTCCTGGGTCTTCCCCTGGGCCTCCTTCCGGTGGGACGTGTCCGGAACACCTCACCAGGGAGGCGTCCAGAAGGCATCCTAAACAGATGCCCAAGCCACCTCAACTGGCTCCTCTCGACGTGGAGAAGCAGCGGCTCTACTCCGAGTCCCTCCCGGATGATCGAGCTTCTCACCCTGTCTCCAAGGGAGAGCCCAGACACCCTGCGGAGAAAACTCATTTCGGCCGCTTGTATCCGACATCTCATTCTTTCGGTCACAACCCAAAGCTCGTGACCATAGATGAGGGTGGGAACGTAGATCGATCGGTAAATTGAGAGCTTCACCTTTTGACTCAGCTCTCTCTTCACCACGACAGACCTGTACAGCGCCCACTTCACTGCAGACGCTGCACCTATCCGCCTATCGATCTCACGCTCCATTTTTCCCTCATTCGTGAACAAGACCCCAAGATACTTGAACTCCTCCACTTGGGGTAGGACCTCCTCCCTGACCCAGAGAGGGCACTCTACCCTTTTCCGGCTCAAGACCATGGCCTCGGATTTGGAGGAACTGA